GTAGTACTAACGGTTTACTATTAACGACGCTATAATAAAGATAGATATTACTAACGTTCTCTAAAAGACAAGTGCCTAAAAGGTACTAGGCCCTAACCTACTACTTACTAGCTTCCTTAAGGTATACAGGCGCCCTCTAGCTAAGCTCCTTACACTAATAGCGACTATAAGCCTCTAGCTAAGGTACTTTCTCGCGTAGTTTAAAGTAGTAAAGGTAGTAGTACTATATAAGCCCGGAAAGACCCTTAAATAGTAACAAACTATAAGGGCCTATAAGCTAATATTACTCTTAAATACGATAGGCAAAGTAATTAAGTTAGTAATTAGCTAGTGCTTTACTAACGCTATAAAGTTGTAAGGGCTCTTCTTAGAGATATAGATAAAGAACCGGCTATAACGCTTAACAGACCTTATAGTTAAAATAGTAGTTAACGCTACGTATATAGTATAGAGCTATAAGGCCGTAGCGTCTCTCTTTTAACTTAACATTAAAGGCGCCTTTAATATAGTAAACTATATACGTCTTCTCTATACTCTCTAGTACCTAAGGTTCTTTATATAGGCTATATAGTAGGTATATAGCTTCTTTACTAATTAGACAGCTAGTTTCTTCTTTAATAAGAAAGTAGTACTACCTTAAGAGGTTACTATAAGGGTACTATAAGGCTTGCCCTTCTCTCTTATTCTCTTTCTTCTTTATACTACTAGCTTATATACGCTACTATAAGGTTATATAGGCCTTATTATAGTAAGGTTTACTAACGACCTTAACCTCTTAGCTTTTAGTAGAGACATAGTAGAGACACGCTAGTACCTTAAAGAGGCGTAGTAGACATATAGCTAGTAGTTACGTATAAGAAGGATAGAGTTTGCCCTTAAAAAGAGTAAGCTCCTTTACTTTACTTATACCTGTACTATACTAACAACGCCTATCTACCTTAACAGCTAGGTTATACCCTTAGTCTAAGAGGCCTACTTTCTAAGAGTTTAGATAGATTAGAAGCTTAGATAAAAGGGCTACCTTAACACTATTAAACAAAAGTTTGCTACCTAATAGTTTACGCTTATAAGGCTTACTACGTCTACGTAAGGATATAGCCTACTATACGTAAAGGAGATCTATATAAAGGTAATCTAGAGTACTATAGTATATAGCGTAGAGGTCTAGTACTATCCCTTTAGACAGTAAGCTAAGGAGATTGTAAAGGACCTTATTATAAAGTAGTTATAGTACCTTTACGTTATTGTAAAGGCGTACTAGGTAACTCTTGTCTAGTTCCTTAAGTCTAAAATAGCTATACCTTTACTTAACCTCTACCTTAACAAGTAAGTAGTAGACTTTAAACAACGTCTTAAATACATAAGTAAGGGCGAACTTATATAGTTTATCTATAATAAAGTAGCGACCTGTCTTTAATAACGCTAGAGACGCTACTATAGTACTACTATAGTACTACCTTATACGTTACTTAAGTATAGGGTAGGCCGAGTCGTGTAGGTAAAAGACTAGTATAAGGACTCTCTTCTAGAAGAGACCTTATAAGGGAACTAGAAGGCACGATAGTCTTAATAT